CTTCTGGGACTTATGATATAAATGTTATTATACTTTAAGGAGTTGCCAAGTTCCCTGAGTCTGCATTCATGATCTAATAGCTTTCTTTCCCTCTTCTTTTCAGCTTCATCATTTTCCATAATTTTATCTTCTACATTACTGATTTGTTCCTCTGCTTCATCCATTCTCAGTCATTACATCCAGGCAGTTTTGCATCTCAGTTATGACACATTTTATTTTGGACAGACTAGTTTTTAGTTATTTTATCTCTGCAGTAAGGGATTCTCTAGTGTCTTCTATGCTTTTCTCAAACTCAGCTCATATCCTTATGATTGTTCTTTCAAATTCTGGTTCAGGCATCTTACTTATATCTGTTTTGATTAAACCCCTAGCCATTACTTCTTTCTGTTCTTTCTTTTGGGGCAAATTCCTCCATCATGTCCTTTTGTCTAGGTCACCGTTTGTGTGTTTATGTGTGTGTGTTAGGAAAGCCTGTTATATTTCTACTCCTGAGAGTAATGGCTATATAAAAAAGAGGACCTATACTGTCTTGGGCCTGGTGCTTCAGGAAGTGTTTCAAAATATGCATTCTGCTGCTGTGTTTTGGCTGCTCCTTCCCTCAGGTCAGTCCTCTGAATAGTTTCTCCTTGCCTGCAGTGGTGTGTGTGTGTAGGGGGGTGTTTGGACCTTGTCCATTGTGCAGCGAGTTTTATTAGATGTGTTTTGGTATGCTTGTTAAAAGAAGCTACATCCTCAGAGAAAGACAAATACCATATTATTTCATTCATATGTGGAATTTAAGAAACAAAACAGATGAACATATGTGAAAGGGGGAAGAGAGAGACAGAGGAAGACAAACCGTAAGAGACTCTTAATGACAGAACAAACTGAGGGTTGATGAAGAGAGGTGGATGGGGATGGGCTACATGGGTGATGGGTATCAGGGAGGGCACTTGTTATGAGCACTGGGTGTTATATGTAAGTGATGAATCACTAAATTCTACTCTTGAAACCAAAATACTACTATATGTTAACTAACTAGAATTTAAATAAAATTTTGAGAAAAAAAAAGAAGCTAGATCCTATTTCCTCTAGAGCTAAGCTTTGAAGCATTCCATGATCAGTAGACTTGGTGCATGCAAGGGGTTTGTGCTGGTCTTCTGGGGGAGGAGCCAGCTATGCTGATTCTCAGGCAGACTTGCCCTAGTGGAGATGCACCTGCAGGGTGCAGGAGGGCTCCACTGCTTATAAAAACTTCTGGTAGAGAAGAAATGTGTGGGAAATATCAGAAAGGGAGACAGAACATAAAGACTCCTAACTCTGGGAAACGAACTAGGGGTGGTGGAAGGGGAGGAGGGCAGGGGGTGGGGGTGAATGGGTGACGGGCACTGAGGGGGACACTTGATGGGATGAGCACTGGGTGTTATTCTGTATGTTGGTAAATTGAACACCAATAAAAATTAATTTATTTAAAAAAATAAAAATAAATAAAAATCAGGAAATTGAAAAAAAAAAAAACTTCTGGTAGTCCCCTCTCCTTTTCCTAGTCAGTGGTTTTGGGGAAGAGTTTTTCTTATACAGTCCCCTATATGCTGTTTTTATTTTGTCTCTCTCTCTCTCTTTCTCACTCATCTCTCCATGATCACAGCACTTACTACACAGTCCCCACTAGTCAAGAAGCTGTGGGTGCCAGGAACCAAATATTGTTCACTATTATATCTCCTCTGTTCAGCAAATAGACACATAGAAGATACTCTCCAAAAATGCTAGGGTTTTTTTAAAAAGTTCTATTATTTTTTAAAGTAGGCTTCATGCTCAGTGTGGGGCTTGAACTCACAACCTGAGATCAAGTGTTGCATGCCCTACTGACTGAGCCAGCCAGGTACCCTTCCAAAAAACGCTCTTTAGATGAATGAACTAATGAAAACTGGTCTTATATCCATTGCTCTAGTCTTTATAAAGTGCGGTTTTTCCTTATAGCTTATCTCTTCATTGTCTGTTTCCCCCTACTAGAAAGGAAGAACCATGGAAAACAGTTATGTTTTGTTCCTTAAAGAACCTTCAATGCTAAAAAAGAAAAAAAAAAACTTCAATGCTTACAACAGTGCTTAGAACTGGCACACAGGATAAATGTCAATAATATCTGTTGAATACGTTTGTGAAAAGTTCAATGGTCAACTTCCTCCTTTGACCAACATTTCCCTTTTTCTAACACTCTATTTTTTTCTGGTGTTGATCTCAATAAAATGAGATTCTAAAACAACTCTAACCCCAGGATGTGGTAAGTGCTGAATGCTCAGGCTTCCTGAGTTAAACATTCACTTGAAGCTGGAAGGTGATCATAAGAACTATAGGAATGCTGCCCCCAAGAGCACTGTTTCCAAGAAGGAGGCATTGGTGGCTGGTACCCCATGAACTCTCTGTACACCACAGCTTCTGTCCTGTACCAGCAAAATCATGACTTGAAGCCATTTGTGTTTTGTGTTCTTGAGTTCAGTGTCACACTCACTTCCTTTTCACCAGAATCCATCTCTTAAAGAAGCAAAATGCAATCAACCAATCAATCAATATCTTACAATAATCATTAGCTTTATTAGAAGACAGGTTTCTATTATCAGAAGTCTTATATTTCAAATCTGCTCATTTTTCCTATTGTTACTGAAAAGGTAACAATTACCCAGTAAGAAAAAATATATAGGAAAAAAGTCATCATCCTAATGCAAGTAGTTGGATTTTATGTGTTTTCCTTTCCCCATTTTCCCCCTAAAAGTACATTATATATACTGACCAACCAGTTTGTGTTGTGCTTTTTCATTTAATATTGCATCACACTTATAAGGATATTTCCATTAGATCCTAGATCCTAATAGATATTAGACTTCATAACCACCTATTTAAATACATTGCCACACATTTCAGGATTTTCAAATACAGTGCTCATTTCAAACACAGTGCTCATTTTCAAATACAGTGCTAATTTCAAATATGTCATGAAAAGTCACTTAAATTGTTTTAAAGACAAAAACTCAAGGCCCTTAAGTATTTTTTTGTTTCAGTGTTTTATTTAAATTTTAGTTAGTTAACATATAGTGTAATATTAGTTTCAGGAGTAGAATTTAATGATTCATCACTTATATATAACACCCAGTGCTCATCACAAACAAGGTACTTAAATGTTTCTAAGACTCTGTCAAATTTCAGGATTAAAAAGGTTTTGCTAAAAATATACAGATGACCAAGCTCATGAAAAAATGGTCAACATCATTAGTTGCCAGAGAAATTAAAATTAAAAAGCCTGACAATGCCAGATGCTGACAAGGATGCAGAATTACTGGAATTCTCATACATTGCTAGTTGAGTTACAAAATGGTTTGGCTACTTCCACAATAGTTTTATAGTTTCTTACAAAGTTAAACATGTATTTGCCACATGACCCAGAAACCCCAATGCTAGGCATTTTCCCCAGATAAATGAAAGCATACGTCTACACAGACCTCTGTGGGAATGTTTATAGAGGCTTTATTCATAATAGCCTAAAAGTGGAAAAAAAACAAAGTCCATCAATCAGTGGAGAGATATAAATTATGGTACATCCGTATAAAGAATATTACTAAGCAATAAAATCAGCAAACTATGTATAAATGGAATGACATGGATGAATCCTAAAACATTATGCCATGTAAAGAAGTTAGACACAAAAGCTTACTCAGTTACTCACAACACTTCTCACATTCCATTTTTTCCACAACAGCAACCACTTCTCCAACTCTCCAGACTCTAAACTGGGTATCCTACACTGCAATTCAATGCTGACAGTAAGCCCCTAGAGTTAGTGCAGATTCCACAGTTTTAAAGGCTCAGTCCCACAAGGCTGCCATTACTTCAGATTCCAGCCACAAGTCCCAGGTTGCCACCTGTACTTCTGACCAACTAGCTAGAAGCTGGGAGTTCCCTTCACTTTTTTCTCAGGCTTGGTAATTTGCCAGGAATTTCACAGAACTCGGGGAAACACTTTGCTTACATTCATTGACTTATTTCTAAAGGCTATGACTCAGGAACAGCCAAATGGAAGGGATGCACAGGATGCAAAAGGCAAGGTATGGTGGGGAGGCATGGCACAGAGTTTCTGTGCCCCATCTGAGCACCCTCCCAACACCAGCCCAATCAGTGTATTCACCAACCAGGAAGCTCTCTAAGCCTTGTAGTTTAGCTTTTATGGAGGTTTAATTACATAGATACAATACAATACATTGACTGTTAGTAATTGAACTTAACTTCTAGCTCCCCATGCCACCCACCCATGCCCCCCTGCCCCAGAGTCATGGGGAAGGGCTGAAAGTTCCAACCCTTTAATCATGCCTTGGTCTTTCTGGAGACCAGCCTCATTCTTGAAGCTATCTAGGAGGTTCTAGCCACCAGTCATCTAAGCATGCAAAAGACACTCATCACTTGGGAAAGCCAAGGGTTTTAGGAACTAGGTACTAGGAACTAGGGACAAAGAGCAAATATATATTTCTTACTATGCCAGCTACATACCATGTGGTTTCATTTATTCCATTCTGGAAAAGGCAAAACTATAGGGGACAGAAATCAGATCAATGTTTGCTAGGGGCTGTAGGTAAGGGAAGGGAATTGACTGCAGAGGGGCAGGAGGGAATTATTTTGTCTGTTAGAAATGTTCTGTATTGGAGTGATAGTTACTTATCTAAATACCTCGTCAAAATTCATCAAACTATAATCTTATAAAAGACATTTATACTGTATGTAAAGTACACCTTAGTAAATATGACTTCAAATAGAAACTCTTTCTTTTGCAAATCCCCTGATCCCAAAGGATGTGACATATAAATTATGATTGATGTAAAGGAATGAAATAAAAATCCCATAAATGGACACTTGGTATTGATGTATTTTTGAATATAGGTGAGTTTTAGTGGGGTGACGCCCAGAGCCAATGACCAAGAAAGAATTCTTGAGACGTCTTGGTACAAAATGGTGGTTTTATTAAAGCATGGGGACAGGACCTGTGGGCAGAAAGAGCTGTACCTGAGTTGTGAAGGGTGGCTGATTATATATTTGGGAGTTGGGGGAGATCAGGAAAAGGAAGGTTTACAAAAGAACTTTCCTATGCTAAAGAGGACCTACAGGATACTGGAGGCCTTGCCATAATCAAGTTAAGGTTGTGTTTCTCTCTAGCAAGACATGCACATTAAGACAGTCGGGAGCCCCCTGGAAAAATGCTACATATATCCCACCCAGGAGAGGTAAGGTTGGGGGTATCAGCTCATGCTTTGTCTTCAGCTAGGCTTCTGCTCCCTCATCAGTATCACTTCCACACAGATGTCCACTGGCTGTGGTGAGCGGCACTAACAGAACATGATTCAGTAGAATTTTTAAGGTATTTTTGGTTCAAAGCTCCTCTGGTTATGCATGATTCAGATGAGATCTTTCTCCTCTTTGGGGCCACGTGGGCCTCTCTATTCTATAGATTCTGCTGTTTTAATAACTTCTCTTGGCTTCTCCTCTCTACTTTCCTTTTTCTGCTGCTTCTCTGCTTTCTGCTCTTTTGCCACAAGTTGATAATTGATGCCCATGCCAATGAAGAGATAGATGCCTGCGATAATTAGGATCACACCACATGCCCAGTAGGTGTATTTGTAGTCTCCATAGATGTCATTCAGACGACCTAAGATATCCAAAACAAAGTTATGTGGGCAAAAGTAACAAGTATACCTTCCCCAAATAAAACTTAAGGATCCACTCAGAAAGAAGATGAAAACCAATAGTCAAAGAGCCCACAAATGATGAATTTGTCTAAAAAGGAACTGCTAAAATTTACATCTTTTATGATGTGACATTTGATTTTAGATGGCCTTGCATATCCTGTTATTTCTAGCAACTTGAAGGTAATGAAATCTTAAGTCAGACTTAGGAAATGGCTTCTCATATTCTTCTCTAGTGAAGATTCACGTCATTAGCATATTAAAGGTTTTGCAAGGTCCTCTAGTAGAAATATCTATCAGACTTGGTGTTTCCAAAATGTTTTTGGCCATGAAATCCCTTGTTACCATCTCATCAAATTGGTATGTTAAGGAATAACATACAACCTTACTCTCCACCTAAGAGAAGACTGAATATAACCCATTCCAATACGATTCCTTGTGCTTTTCTAACTCAGGGCACTGGTCATCCAGCAATACTTATTTGAGCCTGCACATGCACCAGGCACTGGGCTGCTGGCCCTGAGGATAAGGGAGAGCAGAGGAGCAAACATCCACAGTTCAGTGGACAAGAGAAATGTTAATCAAATCACTACACAAACTGTGACAAGGAGGGCTTGAAAACAGAAAATGGGGGGTTGGGAGCCGCCAGCAGGGTCAGGGAGGCTTCTCTTAAAGTGCAAATGAAGCAGAGACCTAGAGGGGGATGGGAGTTATCCAGGAGGAGGCGATGGGAGAAGGATGCGGTCAGAGAACAGCAAGTGCAAAGGCAGGTGGTGGGAAGCTGGGGTGGGAGAGGGGAAGGAGGAAGGGCTGGATTGCTGGAGCAGAGAGAACAAAAGGTGAGTGACAGGAAATGAGGCTGGAGAGACAGGTGGCCAGGTTGGGGTGGGGGTTGGGGGGCGCCTTGTAGGCCACTAGAGGGAATCTGATCTCCACCCTAAGGACAATGGGAAGCGACTGGAAAGATCTAAGCAGCTGGGCTATCAGGTTTGTATTTGCAGATAATTTTGCCTGCAGAGAAGAAAACAGATTGAAGGCTGGCTAGAGTGGATTTGGGTAGAGCAGCTAGGAGGCTACTGGAGCAGCCCATATGGGAGACAGGAGCTGTGGACAGGGTGGTGTTGTGATGGAAAAGTGGGCTGATTAGAAAGAGATTTAGGAGGTGAAAACTGACAAGACTTGGGGGCAATCACTAGATATGGGGAGGAAGAGAGCAGAATCAAAAGACAGCTGTAGGACTTTTCTTTTATGTATCCTCACTCACTAGCCAAATCATACTTCCAAAAAGTATACATCTAAAAGGAGGGCCAGGGGATCCCTGGGTGGCTCAGCGGTTTGGCACCTGCCTTTGGCCCGGGGTATGGTCCTGGAATCCTGGGATCAAGTCCCGCATGGGGCTCCCTGCATGGGGCCAGCTTCTCCCTCTGCCTGTGTCTCTGCCTCTCTCTCTCTCTCTCCATGTCTCTCATTAATAAATAAATAAAATCTTAAAAAAAATAAATAAAAGGCAGGCCATATTATATTTTCACTAATGTTATCTAATGAGCTATTAATTCAAAAGATGAAGTATTAATGATCTTAGGAAACAGTTCCCAAATTATATACTCCCTTACTAGCCATGTGATATAAGGCAAATTATTTAACCTTTCGAAGTTTCTAGTTCTTATGAAGTAGGAACTGTGACAGTCCTCTTTCATAGGCTTGTAAGACATGAGGATACACAAAGTAAAACAGTTGCTGGTAAACCATGAGCTTACATGGGAGCTACTATCAGAGATGGAGTTGTATTTTACATGTTTTTCTACAACAAGCACATTAAGTTTTCTGAAGACAAAACATATTTCAAAAAGAATGCCATTTGTAAGAACATTTGACTCCTCTTTCAGGTTGATGGTTCAATATATTTTCAATTCTGTTAAGAATCCGAGCAATTGGGATCCCTGGGTGGCGCAGCGGTTTGGCGCCTGCCTTTGGCCCAGGGCACGATCCTGGAGACCCGGGATCGAATCCCACATCGGGCTCCCAGTGCATGGAGCCTGCTTCTCCCTCTGCCTGTGTCTCTCTCTCTCTCTCTCTCTCTCTCTGTGACTATCATAAATAAATAAAAATTAAAAAAAAAAAGAATCTGAGCAATTATGCTGTGCCAACCATTGTGCCAACAGTGAGGCTACAGAAATGAGAAAATGAGAAATGTTCTCTGCCACCAAGCAGCTCACTAATCTCTGTTTTCTATTACCTTTTCCATCTTCTATGCCTGTTTAATGTTAACAGAACCAAAGAGGTAGTAAGGCATACTATACCTAAAAGTGGTGGCCCTAGGAGGACAGGACAGCATTCCACAATGGTCACCAGTCCCACGGCGCTGGAGAACCTCTGAGGTCCAACGAGGTCCATCAGTGTTTCAAACAACACTGAGCTGAGCCATCCAAATGCAAATCCAAGGAAGCCCACATAGACACAGAACCCAGTGTAGCTGGAGGTTAAAGGTGCTAGCAGATGACACACTCCATTTGCAACAATAGAAGCTGCAAAAAAATACTGAACTCGAGGTCTTATCCACTTGGTGTTGGCTACAAGTCCCATAGAAGGTCTCGCTATAATATCGAGAAAAGACAGAATAGAAAGAAGGAAGGCAGATTTCTCACTAGAGTAATGTTGACTCTTGGCATAACTATTAAGAAAGACTAAAGGAGTAGCCAGACCAAAAACCATGATCACATTTCCAGAGAGGTATAGTAGAAAGCCTCTGTGGGTAAACAGGGATAAGTCCAACTGTTTCTCAACTATTTGGAAAACCGATGGTTTCTCCTCTTTAGAGTTTCTGCCATTAAAGTCTGTATTTGTGTCACCTGCTCCCTTTTTCTCATCAGATTTTCCAGCTTCCTGAAGGGATTCTTTAGACCTATTTTTCCCCACACTGGTTGGTGGCGGCCCTATTGGTCGCATCAGGGCTCCAGCTACACAGCAGTTTAGTAGGAGGCCCCCAAGAATTAGGAAGCTTCCCCTCCAGCCAAAGATATCAAAGAGAGCCTGATTGAGGGGAGCCAGAGTAGAGAGGAACACAGGGCTGCCTGCCATGGCCAGTCCGTTTGCCAGTGGTCGCCTCTTGTAGAAATACTTGCCAATCATGGTCAGGGCTGGATTCAAGTTGAAGGCAAGCCCGAGACCTGGGAAGGACGGGGGGAAGAATTACATATCAAAATAAATGTCAGAAACATATTTGTTATCAACCAACTAGACAAACTGAATGGCAAGAGGTCAAAATTATCATCATAACCAGTAGATCATTAAATGGGCTGTTATCAAACACAGATATAAATCTCTTTATGCAGCAAATACTAGATATAAAATATATTATTAAAATAATTCTTTTTGCTTTAACAATAATAAAAATAATAAATGTAGGCTCCTTTGTTTAATTTCATAATTTTAGGTTTCCTGAAGAATAGGAAATTGAAAACAAAAAGGAGAGAAGATGAGTTTTATAAATTCAGAGAGCAAGATGGAAGAGGAGGGGCAGAGGGCAGGAAAAGAAGAAAGTGGGTGGTGGGGAGAGGGAAAATATTTTGGAACAGTAAATACAACATTGTGAAGATAGAAACATTATCTCACTAAATTCATTAATTTTAATGTAATTTCTTATTTATTTATTTATTTATTATTTATTATAGGCACACAGTGAGAGAGAGAGAGGCAGAGACACAGGCAGAGGGAGAAGCAGGCTCCATGCACTGGGAGCCCGATGTGGGACTCGATCCCGGGTCTCCAGGATCGTGCCCTGGGCCAAAGGCAGGCGCTAAACTGCTGTGCCACCCAGGGATCCCCAATTTTAATGTAATTTCTATAAAAGAGTCAATGTATTCGATTTTTCAGATGAAGTACAATGACTCTAAAATACACCCAGAGATGTGACACCTGGATTGCTGAGTCAGTTAAGCATGCCGACTCTTTTTTTATTTTTATTTTTTATTTTTTTTTATTTATGATAGTCACACACACACACAGAGAGAGAGAGAGATAGGCAGAGACATAGGCAGAGGGAGAAGCAGGCTCCACGCACTGGGAGCCCGACGTGGGATTCGATCCCGGGTCTCCAGGACCGCGCCCTGGGCCAAAGGCAGGCGCCAAACCGCTGCGCCACCCAGTGATCCCTCGACTCTAGATTTTGTCTCAGGTTACGATCTTGGGGTTGTAAGATCCAGCTGCACATCCAGCTCCGCACTCAGTGTGGAGTCTGCTTGGGATTCTCTCCCTCTCTCTCTGCCCCTCCCCCTGCTCTCTCACCCTCCCTTTAAAATAATAAATAAATCTTAAAAAAGAATACCACCCAGAAACCAAATATATTAAAATATTCAAAAAGTATAAATAATTGGCAGGATCAACACTAACAGGTATATAGATATTTTCTACAGCTATAGTAATGAGAACAGCATGCACTTAGTCAGAAATAGAAAAACTGATCAATAAAATTGGGGAAAAGTCCAGGAATAGGACTGAAAGACACATTTAAGTTAATAGGGAAATTAGTAGATTTTTCAATCAATGGAGCTGAGACAAGTATCCCAATAACCTCCTAAGTGGTCTCTCATTCTGGCTCTCTTACTAGGTAAACCTGATTAGAATGTGCCCATTCCATCTCTCTAATGACTGCCATCCACAGCTTTTCGCTCTGGGTTAGGAAGCACCATGATTTGGCCCTTACCTACCTCCCTACCTGCAACCCAGTGTTTTCTCATAGGTGCTGAGCACAGTTGTTCCTCTAGATTTTCACAAACCTGGATACTACTTGCCATTCAGTTCTCCACTCAAGGTCACCAACTCTGAGAGAGAGGCCTTCCCTTTAGGGGTCATTCAATCCTTCTCCATCAAAATTCTGTTTCAAGTTTTTGCAAAGCACTTATCACAAGCTGATATTTTTCTTATTTATTCATGTATTTGTTTGTCTGCTTATTGTCTGCTTCTCTCCACTATACAGCAGGAATCTTGTCTATCATATTGACTTAATCCCCATAGAGCTTGGAAGAGTCCCTAACATATGGTAGGGACTCAATAAATATTTATTGAATAAGTTAATAAATGAAATAATGAACAGGCTGAATAACCAAGGGGAACAAATATTGTTCCTTTCTTATGTTGTCCAAATATTCTAAATGAATTAAAATATTTAAATGCTTAAAATTTTAATTAATGTAGTAAAAGTACAGATCCAAAAAGAAAATACCTGCTATTGGCATTATCTCATATCCTGCCGGTGGGACTGTACATTATTAGAATCTTTTTTTTTTTTTAGATTTATTATAGAGAGAGAGAGAGAGAGAGGTAGAGACACAGGAGGAGGGAGAAGCAGGCTCCATGCCGGAGGCCCGATGCGGGACTTGATCCCGGGACTCCAGGATCGCACCCTGGGCCAAAGGCAGGCGCCAAACTGCTGAGCTACCCGGGAATCCCTATTAGAATCTTTCTAAAAGGATATTTGGTCAATCCTATCAAAAACCTTTTCCCCCAGTGATTCCACTTCTAAAATTTGCCCTGAGGAAATTATCATGTTCACAAAGATATACAGAGAAGCATTATCATACAAAAGCTGTTTAATAATAGTGAAAAATATAAACAACCTAAAGGTCGTTCAATTAGAGAATGGTGAAATAAACTACAGCACATTAATCCAATGGAAAAAAAGTATCTGCAGCAGTATGTTTATTGAGATGGGGAACTATATACATAATGTATTAGTAAGTTTTAAAAAAAATTGGTTACAAATGTGATATGTAATCTTATCCCTTTTTTTCTAAAAAAAGTATATGTGTGAAGTGCCTGGGTGGCTCAATCAGTTGCATGTCTGCATTCAACTCAGGTCATGGTCCCAGGGTCCTGGGGTCGTGCCCCACATTGGGCTCCTTGCTCATCAAGGAGCCTGCTTCTCCCTCTCCCTCTGCCTGCTACTCCTGATGCGTGTGCTCTCTCTCTCTCTCTGTCAAATAAATAAATAAAATCTTTTTAAAAAAGTATATGTGTATGCATAAAAAATATATGAGCATCAAAATATTAATGTTTTTCTCTGAATTGTAGTGCAATGGATGACCTATATTCTTTATCCCCAGCAGTTTCATTTCCCAAATTTAGCTATTAGGAGGGAGGGCATGTGTCTGACAGGGGAAAATGTGTATGACTACTTTACCAGAAAATTCTTGCTTTGTATCTGACATTCTCTCTTACTCTAATTTGAAACTCTTCTTGGGTAGTAGGATAATGAGTGGGAATCGCTGATCACCATTTCAACAACTTGCCACACACTCTTTACTAGGGCCATTATGTCTTTTAAGATTAAAAAAAAAAAAAAAAAGAGGGATGCCTGGGTGGCTCGTGGTTTGGCGCTTGCCTTCAGCCCAGAGTGTGATCCTGAAGACATAGGATCGAGTCCCACATCAGGCTCACTGCATGGAGCCTGCTTCTCCTTCTGCCTTTTTCTCTGCCTCTCTCTCTGTGTCTCTCATGAATAAATAAACAAAATCTTAAAAAAAAAAAAAAGGAAGAAAGAAAGAAAAAAACCCTCCCTTTTAATGAAAAATAACCCCAAAGTGCCAGAACTTTCTTTAAAGACATGTTTCTCTGGGGGAACCTGGGTGGCTCAGTCCCTTAAGCATCTGCCTTTGGCTCAGGATCCTGCTCAGCAGGGAGTCTGCTTCTCCCTTATGCTCTCTGTTGCTCAAATAAATAAAATCTTAAAAAAAAATAAAGACATGTTTCTCTGGTACTATGCTATTAACATATGTATAGCTCTTAATAATGACCCAATAATTTTTCTAACAAAGAGCTTTCATTTTTTCAAAAGAATTGGCAGATGAATGCTACAAAGAGTCCATATAATAATTAATGCTTGAAAATATATCAGTAGCAACTCACCTCCAATAAATCCAATATACAAGTAAAGTTCCTGTACAGTTTTGGAGAAAGAAGCCGCAATCAAGCCACAGCCTGACAGGCAGCCGCCAACAACCATGATTGGACGACTGCCATATTTATTCACCAGGATACTGCTGATAGGACCTAGGAGAGAGCAAACAACTTAATAACATAGAGCAGAAGCCTACCCCTCACAGGTGTATACACCTGTACAAGGCATTCCCAACATGAAAAGATGCAGAGACATAAATACCCCACTCCACAAAATAAACAGATAAAACAGAAGACAGGGTTAAGAAATACTGCTTCCTACTTTATTTCAGAGTCCCAGGTTTGTGTAATGGGAAAAATATAGCATTGATTGTACAATGTATTATGTACTTCCTCTATACATCGAGAACATACAGGATGGATTTTAACTGAAGTATGGAAGGTTTTAACTTATCTCCTTCAAGGCAGATTAGGCTGCAAATAGCCTGATTATAAGTGATTATAGGATGTTTCCTGTACTTGTATCCTGGAAACACAGGATACATGTATCTAGGATATTAACAACATATTTGTAGCAAGTTTGCTCTGTCTTTAATTTTTGAGATGGAGCAAATGTGCATGAATGTGATGCAATGTATGAGCAAGCCTGATCCAACTTCTGACTTTCCAGAATATTTTCAAATTAGCTGAAATGTACTTTGTTTCTCATAGAAAACAACAACAAAACCAAAACAGAACTACAAAACAAGAATGCCTACCATCACTTTTCTTCAACATTATACTGGAGGTCCGAGGCAGTGCAGTAAGACAGGGGGCAAGAAATGTATAAGGAAAGGAAGAAACCAAACTATCAGTATTTGCAAAAGATGTTTGTCTATCTTATAATTTTGAAAAAATATCTACCAATAAACTATTGGAAGTAATAGAGGTTAGCAGGAATATTTAATTAAAACACAAACATCGACTGACTTTCCATACACCAGCAACCAACACAAAAATCATTCTTAAAGACAGTTACCCTTTATAATGATATCTGTTTTGTAATGTAACTGATCTGACAGTACAAGGCTATGTGTAGACTTTATTGTTAAAGGGAATGAAAAATAAATTATGCCAATTACATAGCTTCAAAAACTAACACTTAAAATATCTTACACATATCACACACATCAAAAACAAAAACTACTTAACATGGAGCTTTTGTCTGACTATTGAAAATTAAAAGAGCAGACTTTCTGGGCACTTACCTCCAGCATACATGACAGCAAACACAATAGAAGAGATCCACGACACTTCGCTGGTGCTGGCATTAAATATTTCTTCAATTTCTTTGTAAAATACAGAAATAGATTTGCCAAACGCACAAGAGAAACCAATGGATATAAAAGCTCCAACAACCACTGCCCATCCCCAGCCTCCATCTGGGGGGGTGGGTCTAACTGGATGGTCATTTGATGGTGACATTGTAAGTAATGATGAATTCCAAAATGCAGTTCCAATCCAAATATCTAAAGGATTTGAAATTAAAATAGTACTCAACAAGTAGGTCAATATAAAGCACTTCCATAAAATCCCTTACACTTATGTTATAAATAACCAAAACACTTCTTTTTTTAAGATTTTATTTATTTATTTGACACGGAGAAAGTCAGAGCACAAGCAGGGGGAGCAGCAGGCAGTGGGAGAGGGAGAAGCAAGCTCCCCACTGAACAGGGAGCCTCAGGTAGAGCCTGATTCCAGGATCCTGGGATCCTGAAGCTGAGGTAGATGCTTAGCCAACTGAGCCACCTAGGTATCCCTGAAACACTTTTCAATATTACTTGTACTCTGTGAAAAGAGTAGAAAAAAACCAAGAGTTATAGTATTGCCCCAAATTTTTATAGGCTTAAAGTTATAAACTCACCACTACTTGAACCATTCACCAAAATCCTTTTCAATCCTTTCCAATAAATATATTGCTTCTTCAAATTTGTAAACGTACTTGTTTTAATAACAGAGATCAGTACTTTTTCACATTATCAGGGATAACTAAATAACTCATTTGACTTACCTACATGCAAAACTCACAAATACACACACTATAAAAGGTTCACAATCTAGTATTTCCTTTATAATTTCTCTTCTTTCCCAAAATATATTCTCCAATACTCACCTGATTTTTCTGTTTTCTAGAAATTATAGGCTAACTTAAAAAGGTCAGGGAGGACATACTAATATCCCACACCTCACTAGACATATAGCAATTTTCAAAAGAAAAGTTCTTTCTACTTTGGGGGTATTATGAATAATGTTGCTATGAAACTTTTGTGTGGACAAGTTTTCAATTCTTCTGGGTTTATACTCAGGAGAAATTCTAGGTCCTCTGGTAATTGTTTAATATTTTGAGAAACTGTCAGGCTCTTTTGCAAAGTAGTTGCACCATTTTTCAATTCCACAAGCAATGTATAAGGTTCCAATGTTTCTATATCATCACCAATATTTGTTATGTCTCTTTATGATTTCCAACCACCCTAATGTGTCTGGAGTGGTAACTCATCATTATTTGGATTTTCATTTCTCTGATTACTACTGATGGTGAGCATCTTTTCATGTGCTTACTGGCCATCTGTATATCTTTTTTTGATATATGTCTTTGGTGAAGTGTCTTCTTTGGAGAAATGCCTATTCAAATTTGCTGTCTATTTTTTGTCAGATTTTTTAAACCATTGAGTGGTAAGAGTTCTTTATATACAGGCATACCTCAGAGATATTGCAGGTTCAGTTCCAGACCACTAAAATAAAGCAAGTATTGAAGTAAAGCAAGTTAAATGAATTTTGGTTTCACAGTGGATATAAAAGTTATGTTTACGCTACAGTGTAGTCTGTTAAGTGTGCAATACCATTATGTCTAAAAAGATGATGTATATGTCTTAACTTAAAAATACTTCATTGTTAGGGAAGCCCCAGTGGCGCAGTGGTTTAGCGCTGCCTGCAGCCCAGGGCGTGATCCTGGAGACCCGGGATTGAGTCCCACGTTGGGCTCCCTGCATGGTGCCTGCTTCTCCCTCTGCCTCTCTCTCTAGCTGTGTCTCTATGAATAAATAAAATCTTTAAAAAAAAATACTTCATTGTTAGAAAATTGCTAACCATCATCTGAGCTTTCAGAGAGTCATAATCTTTTTGCTGGGGTAGGGTCTTGCCTGGATGTTGAGGGCTTCTGACTAAACAGGGTGGTGGTTGCTGAAGGCTGGAGTGGCTGGGGCAATTTCTTCAGATAAGACAACAGTGAAGTTTGTCACATTGGTTGACTCTTCCTTTCATGAACAATTTGTAGCATGTAATGCGGTTTGATAGCATTTTACCTGCAGAATATAGAAATGCTTTAAAAACAGGATCAATCTTCTAAAACTCTGCTGCCGCTTGATCAACTAAGTGTATGTGCTATTCTAAACCCTCTGTTGTCATTTCAGCAATCTTCACAGCACCTTTACCCAAAGAAGATTTCATCTTAAGAAATCACTTTCTTTCCTCATCCATCAGAAGCAGCTGCTCACCCATTAACATTTTATCATGAGATTGTAGCAAATCAGTGCCATCTTCGGGTTGTATTTCTAATTCAAGTTCACTTGCTGTTTCCACCACATCTGTAGCTACTTCCTCCACTGAAGTTTTGAGCCCCTCAAAGTCATCTATGAGGGCTGGATTTAAATTTTCCAAACTCCTCTTAATGTTGATATTGGAACCTTTTCCCATGAATCACAGATGTTCTTAACGGTGTCTAGAATAGTGAATCCTGGGGCACCTAGGCGGCTCAGTCAGTTAAGTATCTAGCTCTTAGTTTGGGCTCAGGGTCCTGGGATCAAGCCCGGTGTTGGGCTCTGTGCTCAGCTGGGAGTCTGCTTGAGATTCTTCCCCTCTCTCTCTCTGCCCCTCCCCCTACTCATGCATGCACTCTCTCCCCCCCCAATAAATAAATAAATCTTAAAAAAAATAGAATAGTGAATCCTTTCTAGAAGTTTTTCAATTTACTCTGCCTACATGCATCAGAGGAATTGCTGTTTATGGTAGCTATCACCTTATGAAATGTATCTCTTTTTTTTTTTTTTAGAATTTTTTTATTTTTATTTATTTATGATAGTCACAGAGAGAGAGAGAGAGGCAGAGACACAGGCAGAGGGAGAAGCAGGCTCCATGCATCGGGAGCCCAACGTGGGACTCGATCCCGGGTCTCCAGGATCGCGCCCTGGGCCAAAGGCAGGCGCCAAACCGCTGCACCACCCAGGGATCCCTGAAATGTATCTCTTAAATGATAACCATTGAAAGTTGAAATTACTCTTTGATCCATGGGCTGGAGAATGGATGCTTGTTAGCAAGCAAGAAAATGACGTTAATCTCATAGTCCATGTCCATGAGAACTTTTTGGTGACAAGGTATATGGTGAATGAGAGTAATATTTTGAAAGGAATCTTTATATATATATATATATATATATATATATATATATATATATATATACAGTAGGTCTTCAACAGTGCACTTAAAATATTCAGTAACTCATGTTGTAAACAGATGTGCTGTCATCCATATCTTGTTATTACATTTATAGAGCACAGGCAAAATAGATTTAGCATTATTCTTAAGAGCCCTAGGATTTTCAGAATGGTAAATGAGCACTGGCTTCCACTCAAAGTCACTAGCTACATTAGTCCCTATCAAGAGAATCAGCCTGTCCTTTGAAGCTTTGAAACCAGGCACTGACTTCTTCTCTATAGTGACAAAAGACCTAGATAGCATATTCTTTCAATAGAAGACTGTTTTGCCTACGTTGACAATCTGTTTTTTTTGCATAGTCACCTTCATTAATTACCTTGGCTACATCTTCTGGATAACTTGCTGGGCTTCTACATCAGCACTTGCTGCTCCATGATGCACTCTCTTCTGTTACAGAGAAGGCTTCTTTCCTTAAACATCATGAACCAATCTCTGCTAGCTTCCAACTTCTCTTCTGCAGCTTCCTCACCTCTCTTGGCCTTCACAGAATTGATGAGAGTTAGGGTCTTGCTCTGGATTAGGCTTGGGTTTAAGGGAATGTTGAGGCGTGTTTGATCTTCTATCCAGACCCCTAAAACTTTCTACATATCAGCAATAAAGCAGTTTCTTACCATTTGTCTATTCACTAGAGTAGCACTTTTAATTTCATCAATAACTTTTCCTTTATTCACAACTCAGCTATCTGGATCAAGAGGCCTAACTTTTGGCCTATTTTGGCTTTCAACATAACTTCCTCACTAAATTTAATAATTTCTGCCTTTTGATTTAAAGAAAGAGACATGCAGGTCTGCTTTCACTTGAACACCTAGAGACCATTGCAGGGTTATTAACTGACTTAACTGCAATATTGTTGTGTCTCAGTCAATAGGGAAGCCTGAGGATGGAGAGAGATGGGGGGAATCAGTTAAGAGCAGTCATAGCAGACACAACATTTATTAAGTTCACTGTTTTCTATGGGTGTGGTTTGTCACACCCCAAAACAATTATTATAGTAACAATGATTACTGATCACAAGGCATCATAACAAATATAATTAAAAAGTTTGAAATACTGCAAGAATTACCAAATGTGACACAGAAACGTGAAGTGAACACAGTTGGAAAAAAATGGGATACCAATAGACTTGTCTCAAAGTTGCCATAAACCTTCAATTTGTAAAAAACAAACAAAAAAACCCACAATACATGCAAAGAGCAATATAGTAAAACATAATAAAATGAGGTATGCCTGAATTCTAGATTCAAGTTGCCTATCAGATAAATGAATTGCAAATATTTTTTCTCACTCATTGCATTGCCTTTTCACTTTTTTGGTTGATGTCTCTTAAAGCACAAACATTTTGACAAAGTCCGATTTATTTTTCTTTTGTTGCTTGTGCTTTTGGCATCAGATTGAGAGACCATTGCCTAGGGATCCCTGGGTTTAGCACCTGTCTTCAGCCCAGGGTGTGATCCCGGAGACCTGGGATCAAGTCCCACAACAGCCTCCCTGCATGGAGCCTGCTTCTCCCTCTATCTGTGTCTCTGCCTCTCTCTCTCTCTCTCTGTCTCTCATGAATAAATAAATAAAATATTTTTTTAAAAAAGAGACCATTGCCTAATCCAAGGTCATAGAGTTCACTCCTATGTTTACTTCTAAGAGGTTTATAGTTGTAGCTCTTACATTTAGGTCTGATCCATTTTTTTAAAGATTTTATTTATTCATGAGACACACACACACACACACACACACACACAGAGGCATAGACACAGGCAGAGGGAGAAGCAGGCTCCATACATGGAACCTACGTGGGACTTGATCCTGGGTCTTCAGGATCACGCCCTGGGCTGAAGGTGGTGCTATAGAGTAGGGGTAGGGGTTTTATTGAGGTAGGGGTCCAAATTCTTTCTCTTGCATATGGATATCTAAGTTACTTCAGCACAATTTGTTGAGAAGACTATTATTTTCTCATTGGATTGGCCTTGGCACCCTTGTTGAAAGTCAATTGACCATTGATGTATTGGTTTGTTTCTGGACTCTTCATTATATTCCCTTAATCTATATATTTAGCCTTCTGGCAGTACCACAAAGTTCCTAATTACTGTAGCTTTATACTAAGTTTTGACAAGAAGCATGAGTCTTCCACTTTTCTTCTTTTCCAAAGTAGTTATGATGATTATGAGTCCTTGTATTTCTATATAAATTTTAGGATCTGTTGTTAATTTCTGCAAAAAAAAGAAAAATAGCTGAGATTTTGAGGACTATGTTGAATCTGTAGATAGATTTGGGGAGTAATGCCATCTTAACAATATCAAGTCTTCTGATCCAGAACACAGGAAGCTTTTCTATTGATTTAGGACATCTTTCAGTAATGTTTTACAGATCTCATTGTACATGTCTTGAACCTCCTTGTTTAAATTTATTCCTGAATATGTTATTTTTGATGGGATTATAACTTGAATTGTTTTCTTAATTTTGCTTTTGGACTTTTCATAGGTAGTGTATTGAAATATAATTGGTTTTTGTATATTAATCTTGCATCCGGCAAATTTGTTTAACTTAATTATTATTTCTAATTCTTATGTTTATAAGATCACACCATCTGTGATCACATCATTATTACTTCTAATATTTATGTTTATAAGATTTACATCTTCCTTTATAATCTGAATGCTTTTTTAAATTGCCTAGTTGGCCTGGATAAAACCTCCAGGACAATGTTAAATAGAAGTAGTAAGAGAGGGATCCTTGTTTTATTTCCGACCTTAGAGGGAAAGATTTTAGCAGTTTACCATTAAATATGATGTTAACTATAGTTTTTTGTAAATGCCCTTTATTAAGCTTGGGGAGTTTCATTCTAATTGTTGAGTGTTTTTATCATGAAAGGGTGTTGGATTATATCAAATGCATTGTTTTAAGTCCATTAAGATGATCATGTGGTTTTTGGGTTTTTGGTCTTAATTCCATTAATGTGGTTTGGCATATTGCCTGATTTTTGTTAAGTTCAGCAACATGAATTCCCATTTCCTTTTTTTTTTTTAAGATTTTATTTGTTTATTCATGAGACACACACACACACACACACACACAGAGGCAGAGACACAGGCAGAGGGAGAAGCAGGCTCCATGCAGGGAGACCCACGTGGGACTTGATCCTGGGTCTCCAGGATCACGCCCTGGGCTGAAGGCGGCGCTAAACTGCTGAGCTACCCCGGGTGCCCTGAATTCCCATTTTCTGAGATAAAAATCTCAGCTTGTCATGGTATATTACCCATTTTATGTGTTGCTGGATTCAGTTTGCATATATATATATATATATATATATATATATATATATATATACACATATATATAAAGATTTTATTTATTCATGAGAGACACACAGAGAGAGGCAGAGACACAGGCAGAAGGAGAAGCAGGCCCCATGCTGGGCGCTGGACATGGGGCTTGATCTGAGGACTCCAGAATCACTCCCTGGGTCAAAGGCAGACGCTTAACCACTGAGCCACGTAGGTGTCCCAGTTTGCTCATATTTTGTTGAGAATTTTTTGCATCTACATTAGTAAAGGGTAGTGATTTGTAGTTTTCTTTTCTTGTGATATCTTTAATTTTGGTACCTGGGTAAT